AATTAAGGGGTGTCAATTATTCCCTACCTTGATTCTGAGAGGTATATAGTGAAGTGGTTCTGTAGTATGAATGGTAGGATCAATCAACTCACACTGAGGGTTTACACACTATTTACATAGACATAACAGCTTAGGATAAAACAAAAGAGAGGGAAAAATCTCTAGGAGGGTCACAACTCACAGGTGGAAAAAGCACACACTCTGAATTAAACAAATAGTATAATCCATACTACTGCTTTTAAATGATCTAGAAGTAAAGAGAACAAAGTATGATGCTAACATATGATAGCTAATGCTTAAATAGGACCACTCTACTCCATGGCACCTATAAACAGTGACACACTAGGGTATCATTTTCATTTTTTAAGCACAGAAACACATCCTCACCCACATAAGAAGATGAGTATAGGAAACAACCATCTAGAAGGACTTGACTTCCCAATATTTTTTTCTTATGACACTATTCATTTCAAATGAGTACAACCTTATGCAGTTCAAATAGCCATACAAACCCAAGAGAAACACAACAGCCAAAATCTATTGGTTATTTTCCCTCCAAAAAATAAAATACATTTAAAACACATGTCTTCAATAAAAGTATTATTTTTAAATATAAAAATCGATTGTCAAAGATGGAATAATTCCTAGGATGATGAATATAATTTTAAATAATACCTCTCTTCTGTCACCAGGATTCAAAAAGCAGCAAATGTTTCATAACATGAAAAACATGTTAAAATAGATAACACAGGGAAAGTAAAATCTGTATAGAGATAAGCTCATCTAAACTACAGTGTATACAATTCTAAACTATTACTATATACAATATAAAGAAATATGTATATATATTAAAAATGAGATTGATAGGGCAAGAGAGACTCCACTTTCTGTTTTTAACTCCATATTAAGAGAAGTCACTTAAAGTTCACTTAAGCTATAGTTCACCCCAGCCGCCTTGGTATTTACCAACCCAGGAGAGCAGAGTCAGCAAATGGGAACAGAACAAACAGGATAAATTGGGAAGTGGGCTAAAAGTTAAACTGCAATGGTCATTTGGAATTTAGCTGTCTGACCTTCTGTGAGAAGTCAACTTCGTGATAATTGTGTGATAGTCTTATAAGATTCCCAAAATGAGGTAGTGGTTACTATGGAAATCTAAAATGTACTTTAACCAAATGTGAGACCAAGATCAGGGCAGACATCTTCTGGTTTGTTACTGTCCATCAGCTGACCCAAAAAACGTTTTGTTTGTTCCTGCCTTTTAGGTTTTCTTGCCAGTAGCTTTCTTGATGAACTCACTTGCTGTATCAAGATCATGCTATATAAACTACTCTGAAATGTTCTCCATTTAAAATAATAAAGACTTTTTAAGTGGTTGTACACCTACATTAAAGAATGAATGATATCAAACTATACTAATATACATGGCAGTTTGTTAATATTTATTAGATGTTTTATACCAAGTCTTTACTGTACAAAAGAAAATACTGTGTTAAAACATACTTATATTTGAATTACATAATACACTCATGATTGTTTCATTATATTAGAATTCCAAAAATGGAACTACATGGTAAAAGGTAAGCACATTTTAAAGGATTTCTGAAGCATACTGAAAAACTGAACACCTAAAACACTATACCAATTTAGGCCTTCACAAACAATTTATCAGAATACCTACTTCCAGGAATTTTTCACAAATATAGAATGCTAACATTTTTACTTTACTTTTGCCAAGTTTATAGCTGAAAGTATTCCATAGGTTTACTATTTGTCTTATTAGTAGAGGTACACATTCATTTACATTATCTTCAATCTTTCTGTTTCTGACTGCCTAAATATAATTTTTTTCAAATTTTTCTACCCATCTGTGTTTTTATATATGACAGATATTAATCTATGGAAACATTGCATTTACTTTTCATCATGAGTTTGTATCTTTTTTTCATAAACTCCTTTTTTAAGTAATGCAGTATTCATTATTGGGAGTTAAATGATCAACCTTTTCTTTAATGATTTCAATCTTTGGTATGATCTTCAGAAAGATGACTCAAATTCAAGATTATAGAAAAAATTAAGATTTTATTGGTTTCCACAAAATTTCTTTGTTTTCAAAAATGGAAACATTTATTCACAACAGAATTCATTTTGATATATAAGACATGGACTTTATCTTTTCATCCAAATTGGCAGACATTTTATCAAATGCCATTTTTTTTGAAAACTCTTGCATAGACTTTGAAATATTTTTATAGTTTGAATTTTAATGCTTCATTTGTCAGTCTATTCCACTTTGAGAAGGATGTTAAAATATTTTGCTTTATAAGATTTTAATATCTAATTGGAAAAGACCAAACTCATAAATTCTCTTTTCCATAATTTTCAAGAAATACTGTCCATTTTTGCTTCCAAATCAATTTTAGAATTATTCTGCTAATATAATTCTCCCAACAAATTCACTTGGTACTCATTATTTTGGTTAATCTTCGAAACACTGGTTACAGTATACAATTTTCCTATTCTGATCCACCATACACATTTTTGTACAATAGAATCTCTTTACATCACTCTGTGATATATTCTTCTTATTATTTCTACTTATTACTTGCTAAGTAGATACATGGAGAAATTTCCACTGTTTATAAATTACCCAGGTATTTTGTTATGGCAACAGAGACTAAGCTTTGCATGGTTCAATATAATAATTATAATGTATTCTTTTTTAATCTTATTTGATCAAACTTTTCAGCTGAGAAGCATCTTCACCCTACTCCTCATGTTAATGTAAATGAACGTGTTCCACTGTAAAATGTCTAGTAAGTACTAAATTTCAAATAAATGTAATTTATCATGGTGTTGATAATTATACAGTTTATATTTTACTAAGTTTTGATTTTAAATCAAGAAATTAGGCTGGGTCTTATATGATATACTTCTTGTACATAACAAGATACTTTATCTCCTTTACCCACTAATGTGAAAAATCATATTAACAGATTTGTAAACATCTTGAACTATCCCTGGATTTCTACCATAAAGTCTATTTGGTAATGCTAAATTACTTTCTTAAAAAACTTCGATTGACCTTCAAAATTTTATTTACTTTTTATTCATAATTATGAGGTTAATTTGTAAGGGTTTTTGTGCTGATTTTGTTGAGTATTGGTATTAGGATAAAACTAGAAGTGACATTTTCTGCAGGCGAACCCTCTAAGAAAAATTAGAAGATGAAATATACATAAAAAAAGGAAGACAAAATTTCTTTATAGACACTTTATAGTGCTATAAAGCAGGAGGCCTACAGGGAATTAAAACAGGGAGGACAGAACATTCAAATGTAAGCTTAGGATCTGCAGCTATCCCTGGGAGCTAAAGCTTCACATGGGATACAAACAGAATTGGATCTAGATGAAGAGTTGCTATTAAGAGTAAAGAAACCATTGGTTTTTTGTTTTTTGGTTTTTTTCTCTCTCTCGGGAAATTAAAGTACTCAAATCAGAGATCTGAAGGCCAGTTTTCTCCTCAAGGCATTTGCTGAATTCAAAAGCTACACAGCTGAGAAAAATGAGGACTGAAGAGTTAAACCCTTTGAAAAGCAAAGTAAATCTCCCACAATCACACAGTGCCTCAGAGAAAATGACCCACTAGTTGAAGAATGCATAGGAATCTCAAGCAGAGCATTATCCATTAAGGCTGCAATAAAAAAAAAATACCATGGACTAGGAGCTAATAAACAACAAAAATTTATTGCTCACAATTGTAGAGGCTGGAGAATCCAAGATCATGATGCCAAGAGACTCAGTGTCTGGTGAAGGTCTACTTCCTAGTTCACAAAAAGCATCTCCTTACTGTATCCTCAGATGTTCGAAGCAGAAAGCTGCTCTCAGGAGCCTCTTTTATAAGAACATTAATTTTATTCATGAGTGTGCTACCCTCATGATCTGTCATACGCCAGGACTCACTTACTGTTATTATCAGATTGGTACTTGGCCTTAAAATATGAATTTAGTGGGTATACAAACACTGATACTATAGGAAGCCCTGAACACTCTTGAAGGAGTAAACTGATACTAACATTTTTATCCTATTGTTAATTGCTAATCCGAGTACTGCTAAGACTCATTCTAAAGACAAATTTTAAAACTAGAGAAGGCAGGAGGCTGAATAGATATAGTTGCTCTGAAAAATAGAAATTTCTAGTCTTTGGTGCTGAGGAAAAGATAACATGCCAGGCTCTCACTGAAAGCCTTGAAGAACCACACATAGCAACAGGGACAACCAGAGATACATTACAAGTAAAGCCTAAGCTTCATCCAGATCAGTCCATGATTGATTGGACTAAGGTGATCACTCTCAAACCACAACTCATCTGCCCCTTATAATTACTCACTAAAAGAAAAAGTGAACCTTTTCTAGTGGAAGATATTATCACCAGGGATTTGTACCTTAAACACAATGTCTAATATCAACCACAAAAGTACTAGAAAAAAAACAGGATTACATGACTGAAAACCAAGAAAACATCAGAAACAAATCAACCAGTAAGTGTAAATAAGCCATAAGAATCAATGAACAATGACTTTTAATGAGTATGATTAATAGTCTCAAGAAAAACAAGACAAATTAGATGAAAAGATTTTTATTAGAGAATTTTGGTTTATAAGAAAAACAAAAGATATTTTAAAAGTAAAAGATACCTGAAATGCTAACTCATAAGTTTCTTTTTTATTTTTACCAAGGTTTTCATTATGTCTTTGTGAAATTGTCTTCAAATTAGCAGGAAGACATGATAATAGGAACCACTTTCAGAATAAGCACATTGAAATAGTCAATGAAAAAATAATGTTCTCTAATTATTAAAGTTGATAAACATAATGTGAGCTTATATCTACCAAAGAACTTCCTGGCTAGTTAAATCAGAAACTGATATCTTAAACCAAACTACAGTTTAAGGAAACACTTTTCTATTGAAAGGCAAAGTAAGAGCGACTGTCACTTACAGGAAGGTGTGTGAATACAGCAAAGGTGCTACGCAGAAAGGCAATGAGGTCTATCAGGTAATCACTAGCTTTGTTGTCCAAATCTCCTGTCATCCAGTCATAGTCTGCCAGCTGTAGAAACTGGTCAATCTTCTGGTTTAAATTTGTATAAATCTCTTCTTCAGCTGCATGCCTCGCATCCTGTGAAATAATATGAAATTTGAAAACATTATTCTGATTTTCAGATTTCCACTATGAAAAATGCAGAAATTTATGTGCCTTGGAGCTAATTCACATTTATAACCATCAAGTAACACAACTGGGGATACTGAGGAATATCACACTCTCCATTAATTTTTATTTTCCAAAAGCAGTATAGCAGTGTGAGGCCTCTCTTCTTTCTCCCTCCCCTCTCCTCCCCTTCTCTCTTCCATCCCCACAGATCCCTTCCCCTCCTCCTCTTTCTCTTATGTATTCATGCTATTCTTTTGCTTCATTAAAAAGGAAAACTACCTTCAGTGCTCTCAGCAATCTGCATTCTATTTCTTCTCTGTGTTCAGAACTACACTTACTCCCAGGACCCTGTGCATTTTCAACTTTTCTATCACTCTAAGAATTCTCCTTCCTGCTAAACTCTATATCCACTAGTTTCTTCACATTGCTTGTAAATATACTTCAGTTTCAATTTAATATTATATATTCTCACTGGTAACTGTCAGAGCTCTCATTCTTTATAATCAAACTTTTTCAAACACTGATACATTGTGATGATGTTTAAAATACTCCAGATGTAAAACTAATTCTGAAAGATGTTAAAATATACCAAAGAGTTCCCAGATCATTTCAGTGTGAGATACCCTGTATAAGCAATTCATGATGAATACTAGCTCTAAGAAATGTTAGTTGTTTTCACAAATATATACATATAAATATACTCATCTATATATGTGTGTGTATATATATATATATATATTTGTCTTTTTAAAAAACAGCACAGATGTGTCCTGTGGACAGTCAGAATGCTAATACCAAAAATTTTACAACAGGGACAGCTTCAGAAGCCATGAACTACTTTGATACCACATTCAATGTTATTTTTTAGTCTGATCTTAACAGAATCTTTATTAAACATTCTCGACTTAAAATTCTGTCTTTCTAAGCTAGGAGTATAGCTTAGTGCTAGAATGCTTATGTGGAAAGTGTATGGCCCAGCATTTGATTTCTAGCACCAAAGAAAAAACAGAGGGAGGGAAGGAAGGAAGGAGGGAGGAATTGAAGGAGGGAGGCAGGGAAGGAAGGAGAGAACGAGGGAAGAAAAGAAGAGAAGAAAAGAAAAGGCAAGACAAGAAAAGAGAAGAAAAGAAAAGAAAACTCTGTTTTCCTGTAACTTTTCCTGGGAAAGGTTACTCATAGCTATGTTTTTATTTCTTTAGTCTCAAATCTCATTTTTTTCTGGGTGGCCTAATGCTACATGAACATCACTGACACCAAGAAACTCTGAAATCAGAAAGCTGGGATCTAGATTCATCTTACTATTCACTATTCAGTTAAGACAAGTGTAAATCTAACCAATACACTAGATTCCATTCTGTCCTTCAGTCAGAAAAAGGAGGCTTATAAACTCAGCCTCCTAAATTTCACTTGTACCTTGCTTCACATTTTCACTTATTTAATATCTATGTAATTTTGCAATACACATATACTATAATAAAATTAATGAGCATGTTTACTTACTATATGTTTTAAAATATGCTTTTGACAAAACTATATATTTATCATGTACAAAATGATGTTCTGAAATATGTACATATTGTGGAAAGGCAAAATGGAGCTAGTAACAGGTTGAGCAAATTAACATACCTTAATCAAGCTACTGAACATGTGTAATCTCTCACATATTTGTCATCTTTGTAGTAAGAACACTTAAAATTTTCCCTCTCAGAAATCTTTAAGAGCATAAGAAAATCATTAACAACTATGGTCATTATATTATTCCATAAATTTCTTGAACTAGTTCCTCCTATCTAAAATTTTATGTCCTTTGATTAAAATTCCCTGACTCCTCCCCAGCCTCTCCCCAACTCCTTGGAAACAAGTCTTCAGCTCTCTTCTTCCATAAGATCAATGTTTTCAGATTCCACACAGTATAAGTGAGATCATGAGGTATTTGTCTTTCTGTGCCTGTCTTACTTAACACAATGTCTTCAAGGTTTGTCCAAGTTGCCACAAATAAGATTTCTATTATCTTAACACTGAACAGTATTTCACTGTGTATACATACCGTATTTTCTTTATCTGTTTAACTACTGATGGACACATACATTATTCCTAGATATGGAATCAACATACTGGGAATAATGCTTTAATAAACATGGGAGTTTAGGTCCCTTTTTAACATACTGATTTCATTCTCTCTAGATATATATCTAGTAGTAGGATTGGTGGATCATATGTTAGTTCTACTTTTAATTGTTTAGGGAATTGCTTTCTACCAAGTTTAAAGTGATAGCTCATTATAATATTCTTTTGCATTTCTCTGATGACTAGAAATGTTGAGTATTTTTTTCATATACCTGTTTTATGTCTTATTTTGAGAAATGTCTATTGAGGTCCTTCATTCATTTTTTAAAAATTGGGCTATATGGTATCTGGCTACAGATGTGTCTGAGTTTCTTATTAATTTAGGATTGGGGTTTCTTCCTTTGGTTGTTTGTTTTGTTTTTTATCATTGTTTGGTTCTGAAATGGGGGTCTCACTACACTGCTCAAGCTGGCCTTAAACTTCTGGACTCAACTGATACTTCCTGCTTCAGTCTCCTAAGTAGCTGTTACTACAGGTGTACACCACTGCAACAGCCTAAACTTTGGATTGATCCTTTATCAGATATAAGACATGAAAATATATATTTCCCCTTTTGTAGGTTTTCTCTTCATTTTTGTTTTCTTTGCTTGGCAGTACCTTTTTAGTTTGACATAATCTCACCTATTTTTACTTTTGTTGCCCATGTCTTTACAGTCGTATATAAAAACATCATTACTCGGGCCAATGTCATGGAGTTTTTCCTCTATGTTTTCTTTGCAGTTCTTATATTTAAGCTGAAATCCATTTTGACTTGACTCTTAATATGGTGTGAGATGCAGAAAATTTTAATTCTCACATACATATGGTAATTTGTCTTCTCAACTCTAATAATTAAAGAAACTGTCCTTTTCTCTTTGTGTGTGTTTTGACTACGCTGTCAAAAAAAAAAAAAAAAAAATCAATTGACCAAGCCAGTCATAGTGGTATATACCTATATTCTAGCACTCTGGGAAGCTGAGGCAGAAACATCACAAGTTTGAGCCCAACATGGGCAACTTAGTCAGCTCCTATCTCAAATAGAGAAGGGCTAGAAATGTAGTTCAGTACATACAGCATAGCACATTTTTATATACTTATCTCAGATCTGTATGTCTTCTTTGGTGAGGGATTTGCTCTGAACTTTTACTCATTTTTAATTGGTTTGTTTCTTTTATTATTCTTGAGTTTTATGAGTCCTTTGTATATTTTGAATACAAGTCTTTCGTTACATGTGTTTGGCAAATATCTTCTTCCAGTATATGCCTTGTCTTTTGTTTTTTCTTAACAGTAACATTCTCAGAGCAAAAGTTTCTAATTTTATTGAAGTCCAATTTATCAATGTTCTTTTATGGATCATGGCTCAGCACTGTATCTAAAATATTGCCAAATCTAAAATCATCTATATTTTCTCTTATGCTATCTTCTATGAGTATACCTTTGTGTTTTACATTCAGAGATTATGTTTTCAGTAAATTTTTTATGAAAGATGTAGGTCTCATTCGAGTTTGCTATTGCTTTGTTTTGTTTAGTTTGGCATGTGGATGTCTATCTGTTTCTGCAGCATTTGATGAAAAGTTCAACTCTATTCTCCAGTAAGTTGTATTTGTTATTCTTAAGCTTTATTTTTTTAAAACATGATTGCACTACAAAATAATTATATAGCACATTTAAATTCTTCTTACATCTCTTCCTTTCTCCTCCCTCTGCCATCCTTCCACCTCTTCCTATTTCTAAATGCCTTTCCTTCTTGTTAAATGCTACATTTGTATGGGTTTAGTTTGGGGCTCAAAATTCTGTTTCATTGGTCTACTTGTCTGTTTTTTTTCTAACAATACCACAGCTTCATTTTTTTTTTCCTCTACTGCTATTAGTCTTGAACTCAGGTAGCAGCAGTCTTCCAACTTTGCTGTTCTTCACTATTTTGTTGACTGCTCTGGGTATTGTGTTTCCATGTAAATCTTAAGGATCCACAAAATAATCTGTTAAGATTTTTGAAAGAGATTACATTAAATCTACACATCCAGTTGTGAAAACTGAAACTTTCACAATATTGAGTACTTCTGTCTATAAACATGGAAAATATCTCCACTTATTTAGATCTTTGATTTTGTTCATCAGTTTTATAGTTTTCCTCAGATACATCCTGTATTGGGTTAGACTGCTAAGTAATTTTTTGTTGATTTTGTAAATTCCATTGTGTATTTAATTTCAAATTCCCATTGTCCGATAATAGTGCAAACAAAAAAGCTACTGAATTTTAATACTAACCTCCGAACTTCAACCTTGCTATATTTACTTCCTATAGTTACGTTTGTAATTTCTTTGCAATTTTTCTACACAGTCTATCACATTACTTGTAAAACAAGTTTTATTTCTGATATGGACTAGTAGCAGTGTAAGAAAAGAGCTTTGCCTTGTTCCTGATTTTAGCTATAAAACATGTCACCATTAAATATGTTAGCTATAGATTTATTTTACAGATGTTCTTATCAAGTGGAGAAAATTAGCCCTCTAGCCTACTTTGTTCAGTTTTTGTCACAATTGAGTGCTTTCTACATCTGCTGATACACTTGCATAACTATTTCTTCACTTTTTTGCTATGATGGATTACAAGAGTATACTTGAATGTTGAACCAGTCTTGCAGACCTACAATAAATCCCACTTGGATTTATATCCCACTTGGATGTGGTATATAGTGTCCCACTTGGATGTGGTATATAGTGTCTCATACATTATTGGATTTAATTTACTATTGTATGAAGATTTTTGAAACCACTTTCATAATATATAGGGTATAATTTTTTCATCTTGTACCATTTGGTTATGATATAGGGTAATGCTGGCCTCATGAAATGAGTTC